TCGGGCCCCTGCTTGATTCAGGTTTGGCTGATTTGCTGAACAGATAGCACAGGCATATGTGGCTATGCAGATTCATATTATTTCTCCCTTTTTGTACATTTGAGTATGCTGCCAGTTTGAATCTCCAGTATTTTACAGGCGATCTCCTGGTATCTCACTCACACACCGTGTTCTCCAAAGAAAGAGAAAGAGGATTCATGATGATGATATATAGACAACTATGAGAGGTGCACTGGTAGTTAGAGCTAAATTATAGATGCATCTTTTACATAGCAGTGTGAGTAAATGAAGACATTTCTATGGGAGAGTCGGGTGCTGCTTGTGTCTTCAAAGCTGTTGGGAAGAAGTAGTGATTTGAATTATGTATGTGTGTTCCATTGGTGTTTCTTTGCAAAAACAACATGGTGACAGCATTAAATAGTCCGCTACACTGAAACTTATCAATAGGCATTCATGAAAAAGTTCTTAACTGCTGTTGGAAATGTAGGGACTCTGATTCAAGCTTCTTGCTATTCCCCTACTTCTTTCATTAATTGGTAAGGAACTAAAGTTATATCTTAGAACTAACACTACTTAACACTACTTTCTTTTCAAATATTAGAGAGGTTTGAAAAATAATCTTTAAGTAGCTATTTTTCCATGGTGAAAGAGATGTATTTAGAGAGGTATACAGAGTCCATTTCAGCAGCTCCTTTACGTTCTTGCAGGCAAGTTACTTACCTTCTACAGCTTTGATTTTTCATCTTTATAAATATGTTTGTAATAACCTACCCAGAGCATTACCCTTGGAAATAACTCAGATAGAAATGTCTCCAATGAATCCAGAAGCTCGGTATATGCTCTTCCATTTGCAGGCATCATTTGCTAAGTTCTGCTAGTCTACCGTAATCATTTGAATTAATTCTGTATTTGTGATTTGCAACAACCTCATAGGGTTGAGATATATGACTGTTCTTATTCATCACACAAAAAACTGAAGCAGGACTAGTTGCTTGCTGTAACAATGATCTCATAACTTTATTTCTTCAAAAATATTTCCTTCACTTGATGTCCTCACACACTGTGCTTTGGTCAACAAGGTTTCTGGTTCACCAAGTTGGTCACAATTAAGTATATGCATCCACATTAACATACTATTAATTTTAATTTTTAAACTGATGCTTCTAGCACAAAATTTTCATTTAAAGTAACCATCCATCACTATTGATCTACTATAGAAATTATCCTGTATTGATTACAATGTAACACTATTTTGTAAGCACTTAAATAATCTTTTTCTCTATACTATAATGAACTCTTAAGAGTTTGGTAAATGGCATCATCCAACCTATTCTCCAATTAATGACATTTCTTATTTAAAAAGTTACTTACTTATGTGGAAATTAACCTTTATTATAAACAGAATTTAATATCTTAAGAAAACAAAGGTTGAAGTTTTTGTTTGTTTTGTTTTGTTTGTGGAACTGAGGATTCTACTCAAGGCCTTGCATTTGCTAAGCAGTCACTTCATCATTAGAGCCGCTCTGGCCATCCGAAGGATGAAGATTTTAATGAACTAATCAAAACCACAATTTAATAAAATGTGAATAAATATCCCCCATTATTAGTGTTTTGTCTCTAATTAGTTGTACAAATGAGTTTCAGTTCAACAGGTCAGTTTATGGTTATAACACATCTTAATCTTATTTCTTTTATCATTTCCCCTGTCACTCAGAACCCCACACATTCCCCCAATTATCCTAGTTTCATGTTCACATATGTACGTTGACTATTATGACTATATTCTTCTATCTTTCCTGTCATCCATCTACCCTCTCCTTGACCTCATATATCCGACTTTCCAAATTTTAGCTTCCTGATATTCATTTTGTTAGACTGTTAGTTGTTCAAAAGAATTGCACCATTGGAATTCTCTCCTACACAAACCATATTTTACATTATATGTTTATATATATACATATATATGGCCCTATGTGGGCTTACATTTGTTTATAAATTATATATAACTTCCACATATGAAAGAAGAATTACATGAGCCTGACTGAGTTCACTTTACATCATTTTCCAAAGTCCATCCATTTGTTGACAAATGACATAACGTCACTATTCCTGATATATTATAAAGGCTTTTTATCCTAACTCTTGCTCTAACCACTTGAGTGGCCTTATGTCAGTACAGCAATCTTCCTGTGAATCAGTTTCCTTTTCTGTAAGGAAAAGAGTGCAGTGCCTGGTAGACTTACTCACAGTATGCTTTTGAGAATAAGATGAAGTAACATAAAAAGTGCTTCCTCATGTTCAACCAGCCTGAGCACAGATGCTGTCCCTGAGTCATCGTTAGCATCTTTAGTCATCTCCAGTCGGTCTGTGCACATGGCTTATGCTTCTTCCTATTGCACAGTCCCTGAGCTTTTAACTCAACTCTAAAAATCAACTCATGATATCAATATATACCAGAACAAAGTCACTGATGCCTTTCCAGTTGCAGAGAAAAGAATAAATTACCTCTTTCCAACCTCTGTTCAATTGAAGTGTGGTCATCAAAGCTTTCAGCTAAGGACAAATTATTCATCTAATACACTATATTTTTAATGTTCTCACTTTTAGAAAAACTTTTACATCCTATTTTAACAGAATATATATCAATATATGTAAATATAAATTTTACATTATATATATATATAAATAGTAAGTGTGTGTGTGTGTGTGTGTGTGTGTGTGTGTGTGGCAGTACCGGAGTTTCAACTCAGGATCTTGTATGTGCTGGGTGATGTTACTGGAGCTACTTGGCCAGCTTCTCTGGAATGGACTATAAGTAATTGGTTATTTGTTTGTTTACTTATCATTTACATATTTTTCCAGCTGATGCTCTGCAACTCCCTAGCCTGATATTTTGCTGGTTTTACTTTGGGAAAAAGGGTATCAGACTTTTCTGCCAGGGCTAATGTAAAGCTGCAACACTACTCTCAATCACAGTCTCATTAATAGCTAGGGTAATAGGCCTGAGACACTGGTAACTGGCTGGGCTGGCTATTTTCAAGATGGTACCTATTTTACTCACAACTGGTGCTCTGCCACTTACTTCAGCTCCACCTCCAGTTTTGGCTTTTTGTTGGATAATTAACAATTAGTCTCTGAGACTTGAATGTCTAAGCTGGCTCCAAATCTAAATCCTCAGATCTCAGCCTATAGAGTAGCTAGAGCTTGAAGGCATGCACCACCTCCACACTGCCTAGCTGCAAGTTTCTAAAGTCATTTCCCTAATTGAGTTTTCAGTGACCTATGTTTATATATTTATATACCAAGTTCTGGCTGCATGAACAATAACTTTTTTTAGTCAAGTTACATTTTCTTAGACAGGCTTCTTAAGGCAAGATTACACAGATGTGATAGCGTTATCCAAGAGAAGGCTGTTAGAAGATACACTGGTGTTTGTTCAAGTCTCTTAACATTTATGTGTATGAGAGGAACAGGAACAAATAACTGAGACCCAAAGTGTGGAGTTTTCATAAGCCAGTGGTGATGCCCATTGAAAAGAAGGGCTCAGAAGAGTATGACTCAAGTTTGATCAAAGAAGTAGTCTTTGTCATTAACTAGAGCATCTTTGCAAAGCAATATTCCCTTGCTTTACCCCAGTTTCTATAAAATAACAGCACCTGCAGTATAGCAATGTGTTTTGAGGATTAAAGGAGTTAGTGCTTCTAAAATGCTTAGGACAATGCTGATATCTTGGAAGTTCTATGTCTGCTGTCATTACTATTTTTAAAATAGAGTTAATAGCATCTGTCTGTTTGATCTAGGATTGCTTTTGTTATTAAGTGCCATAATAAAAGTGAAACATGGAAGTTCTGGTCGGCAGTGATAAGCATATTCGCTAACAACAGCAGTAGTAGCTATTTAGGGTCACAAAATACCTTAAATTTGTAAAACATTCATAGCCCAGAATGATCAATATGAATAAACTTTGAGCTTATCATTTTCTTAAATTTTAAAAAGTGTAGGGATGTTATGTCACATTAGAAACTCAGATATTGCAAATATTTATGAACAATCATACTTGTGAAAGAAAGATCATAATAGATGTATTATGCCTCTGTATCTCTTGGGTTCTCTATCTACAGTTAAATTCTCCAGCATGAATGAGATATAACCTCCTTACTGTGCAACCTTCAGTATTTCCAGGGTTCTTTCTTATTGTTAAAGTCAGTTTTAATCTATATAATTATAAAGACTTAAAGGAAATGAAACATTTCCTTCAGTTTAGAAAAATGGCATATTCAAAAATAGAAACTAGCACTGAATTATATTGTTTCCATTTTGTTTCTATCTTAAGATACGTATTTGATATATATACCACTGCATCTAAATGACTCAATAATCTTGAGCTTTGATATATTTAATTGTGGGAAAATGACAATTAGGTAAGAGGCCAATAAATTTTTTTAAAAAAGAAAGAATAACTTGAGGTTGTATTGATTTTTTAAACATAAAGAATTCTATACTCAGAGAAAATAATCAAATGGAATATTATATTTTAAGACCCATCATTATTTATTATTTTCTATATCTAATATTAGGGTGGATGTAAAATGATGCAAGAAACTCAGTATTTAATTTTTCAAATAACAAAGCTAGTCAAACATGATTCTCAACATATTCATATTAAATAAATAAATTATTATACATTTTATATGAAAAATATTGCCTTTTAAAAACTGTGACAATATTAGAAATATCACAAATGACCATTGATTTTTTTTTAATTTTTGTTTTGATTTGTTTTTTTATAAATACTGCCAAAGACTGTTTAGGAAAGGATAGTAACTTTCAGGATACCCAAGTTCAAGACTCAGCTTTTCCACTAACCTGCCACACAGCTCTTAGCCAGAAATCTCACTTCATTGGACCAGTGATTGAAAACTGTGTATTTTATAATTATTATTATTTGTTTCTTATTAGCAGCACTTTAATTTGGATTTTCTTTCTTTCTTTTTTAATAGTCTGATACATACTTCTGCATGTCAATGCGTTTGCCAGTGGATGAGGAAGCCTTCGTGAGTAAGTATTAATTGTCTGGTGTGGGAGGCAGGTGGCAGGAAGGGAGAGTGGTTATTTGAGATCAGTGAAAGGTTCTCTTTGATGGTTATGACTTTATTAATCTTTTAATGTCAGATTCCAAAATGCATTTATCATGCCTAATGCAAATACAAAACAGAGGTAGCCACTGCGAGATAAAATTACACAGTGTATCTGGAGAGAAGAAGCCGCATGAAGATGTCAATGGTGACCAATACCATGTGGTCCCATTTGTACAATATTGGATTTCTGTCTGTGGCTGAATACTTAATTCCGTTCCTCTCAACAGATTGTTTATTTACCTGCTGCTTCAGACTATAAATCGACTGCACTTAGAATCAACACTGGGGATGTAAAATCTACCTCTCAGATAGTAGATGGATCAGAAGGAGAGGATGAAGGGAGCTAGATCAGGATAAAGAGGGGAAAAAATAGGGAGAGAAGGAAAGCTGAAAGAGAAGGGCCTGTATCCTGTAGTTTACATTACAGAGCAGAGGACTTGTAAGTGACAGGTGCTTCCCCAACAGAGCCTGTAAATCAGAGAGAAAAAGTGACAAAGTACCATATGTTTTCATCTAGGTTGTTTTAATTTAAACCCTCCTCCTGAGACTTTCAAGTGTATTGGCACATTATGCATAGATTGGTCCATACCTCCTCCTTAACTTTCTGGTTTGAAATGATTTGGGGAAGAGATGGCTAGTAATGAGAGTTGTTCCTTTCAAACTCATCTTCAGATGGACTGTATGAAATGGCTAGTGTGTGAATTGTACAGTGTGTACCACATCGCCTTAAGATGTCTTGGGATGAATTTTCATGACGTGCTGTCCACACGAATGTGTATTATAGACCTGCAAAACCAGAACAATGTGCAGTTATTTATTCTCATAATTTTGGAGCTGTCACAGCAGCAAAAAGCAAGTAATAACATTGTGCAAACAAAATTGGCCCAGTAGTTAATCCCTAAAAGTGAAAACCATGTCATGAACGGCTGAACACTGCCCATTACTTTGCGTAGTTTTGGACCATTCTTAAAAGGAAAGCTAGGAAGAACAGCATTCTCAGGGACTGAGTTGAATAAGTTGAAAATAATTTAAGTTACAAGTTATAGTTGAGTAACTCCCAAGTGTGATCTATAATATATTCATTGTTAAAATATTAACACTATCTTTGAAATTTTTTATATCCACATAGTTGGCAGCCTCGGAGGAAATACTATTTTCTCTTAAAAGGATAATTTTCTTGAATTTTTTCTTTATTAATATTCTATTTTCTTTGTTCAAACCCAAGAATAGTCTAATTCCTACCATTTCATGCTTTTGAAAAGAGGCCACAGTGCCCACCTGAAAAAACATGGCAAGGCATGTTTCTCATTGATTGCTTGAAGCTGGCAGTAGTATAATTCCAGGGCTGGTAACTCTGAGGACTAAAGATTTATATCCTGGTATGTATTATTGCTCTCTTAATATAAATGATCTCTTAATATAAATATTTGCACAGACTTTAAATTTTTAAAAAAAATCCACCTGGGTGGTTCAGCCTGTAATCCTAGCTACTCAGGAAGCTGATATCTGAGGATCATGGTTCAAAGCCAGCCCGGGCAGGAAAGTCCGTGAGACTCTTATCTCCAATTAACCACCAGAAAATGGAAGTGGCACTGTGGCTCAAATGGTAGAGTACTCACTTTGAGCTGAAATGCTGAGGGACAGCACCCAGGCTCAGAGTTCAAGCCCCACAACTGAACCAAAAAAAAAAAAAAAATTCCAAGGGAATACATTTAATCAAGCAAAATACCAACTGGAAACAGCTTTAAAGGGCAAAATTAGAACCAAGGTCCTAAACATTTCTTCATTTTGCTTTTTTTCTTTTTTAATTTTTAATAAGTTTTTTATTGTGAAAATACTGTACAGAGGGGTTACTTTTTACAGTTACATGAGAAAGGTAATGAGTACATTTCCTATCATGCATTGTTGCCTCCTCCTTTGTTTTTCCCCTACCATCCCTTACCTCCCACCTCCACAATTACACCGCCGCCTCCCCCCCCCGCCTAAATTGTAAAGTTCATTTTTCAACCGTGTCCTGTATATCTCATTGTTACAATGGGTCAACCTGTATCCCTCTTTAAACATTTTGTGGCAGCTCTCCTTTAAAAGCAAACTACAGCAAGTTCTAAGGTACTTAACTAGTCTTCTAAGATTAGTAACTACTTTTTCTTCCTTTCTTCATCACTGGGAGGATGTCATGAATACTAAAGATATGTTTCCTGTTCAGAACAGGTTGTTTCATTTTTTTTTTTAGTGAGTTCTTTCATGTTATAACCTTAAGGGAACTTCACACAAAAGTGTAAGTGTACCAAATTAAAACTGAAAATTGAAAAGCAAACAGATCACTTTTAAAGAAACAAGTAAGGGAAGGGACTTGTTTATTCAGGTTATCTGTCAGTTGGGTGATTTTCCAGACCTTCCAACTGGAAGTTTTAGTTGTGGGGAGACCATTTCTTCCATGCTCTGATATTCTGCTGGCAAAGGAAAGGAAGCTTTAGCCTTTACATGGCCTGTTCCTAATTCTGAACCTCAGGATGCCTTACCATAGATTTATGTAAAGTCTTTTTGATATGCTAAGGTTGTACATGAAGAATTGCAAACACTATAATATTCTGCCATTTTTTCTTTCTCCTTTTTAGTGTATATTAATTGTGTTAAGGGAATTCATTATGACATTTTCATACATGCATATACCATATTTTAATCAAATTTTCTCTTCTGTTGACATTTTACTTTTTTAAATATGTTTTTATTGTAAAAATAGTGTACAGAGGGGTTACAGCTACATGAGTAAGGTAATGAGTACATTTCCTATCAAGCATTGTTACCTCCGCCTTTGTTTTTCCCTTACCATCCCTTCCCTCCCCAACTCTTCCCTCTCCCCACCAAGTTGTAAAGTTTGTTTTCAACATAGTGTTTTGTACATCTCATTGTTACAGTGGGTCAGCCTGTGTCCTTATTTCAGCATTTTGTTATTTGCCTTCCCCTACCCAAATTATAAAAATGTATATACAAGATGCAGGACACTGGAATCAAATACTTTTTAAGACAGGATCTCACTATGTTGTCCAGACATGCATTAAACTCTAGTCCTCCTATCCCATTCTCCCTAGCAGCTGAGATTGCAGGCATGCGCCACCGTGACTGGCTTTTTTGTTTATCATTATTGTTTTTTTAAAAAAATAAGTTATAGCAACTATTTGTTCACTCCTTCCTTAAGATAGAATTTTATACCTTCTGTTTTCATTATCTGTGACTATAACCATTGACTCTCAGCAGGATATAAGCAACAGGAGATGATAGATTTTTAATAGTTGCTTTCTGAGTGGAAAACTTCAACAGTGAAACTCACTGGACACTGATGAAAGTGAACTATACAACTCGTGGGTGGAGATGGGAGGGAAGGACTGGGTTAGAGTGAGGTAACAGAAGACAGTGTAAGAAAGGAAATATACTCATTACCTGACTCTTGTAACAGTAATCCCTTCATACATCATGTTCATAATGAGAATGAAGTAAATTAATTTAAAAAATACCCCTAAACTCCATAAAAGACATAAACTCCCCAAAATAATGGAATCAGAACCACACGGTAAGATGGAGCCCTGATACTAAGAATAAATAAATAATTCTTTAGATGATTCCATTGTGCAGTGAAGCACCCAGGGTTTTAGAGCTGCAGTTATGAAAAGAAAAAAAAAATATATTCTGAACAAAAACAGCTTTTCCTAGAGCACTGCTTTTATTTATAGTTTTAATATGAAGTCAGGGAATTGATTGGGTGAAGATAAAATAAAATCTGCATTTGACCACTGAACTGCTATGCTGTCTGAAAGGTGTTTTACAGATATTCAGAGGAATTGGCTCTGACAGCAACCACTCAGCCAAGAAATGTGACTGTCATCTTCATTCTCTTGCTTTTCCTCCCATGGATGACCAGTAAATAAATGTGTCTTTCCCTTCATGAACAGTGGCAGGTCCCTATCCATCAAATTGCACTATACAAATGAGATAGAAGTCAATGAGATTAGAAATAGATTAAGTTAATGTAATGATTCATTGCTTTTTATTTTCTTAGATTTCTATCTTGAATGTATTGCCATGTCTACTACAGAAATGTACAGCTTTATTTGCAATACAATGATGGTTAACTGATTTGGGGGTAGTTTGAACACTGAAAAAATAACTTTATTTTCAACATGCACATCAGATCATGTGACTATAAAGACCACTACCTTACAGGGTACTGGGGTCAACTTCACATTTTATAGCATTGATATTAGCAAAAGAAGAATGATCCTCTGTGCATATATGTGAATCTTCATTCCCATGCAAGCATTCTGTCAGCTTTCTGCTTCCAAATATTTAACTGAGTATCCTTCTTCTTAGGATTTTCTCTTTATAAGGAGGCAGACAGCTATATTTTCAGTATCCCAAATGACCATTGAAGACCCACCAGCAGATACAACAAATTTCCTAGGTTCTTGATGAAATCTACTTGGAAATAGTTGTTATTGACAGCACAAATAAAATATACTAGGAATCTTTAGTTAACTCCATTTTCTTTGGTTATAATCATGAAAGAAAAGTTGATGCTCAACACTTTGTGTTAGAATCTTAGAGTCTTCAATCTTTTGGATGGCCAAAGAGTATCTTTCTAACATGACACTCTGCAACAATTTGAAAACTTTTTTCAGATAGCTAAAAAAAAGTGACAAGATAGTTGGAACATTTTCTTGCATTTTATAAAGCCATGAGGAAGTCTATGTTAAGATTCATCTGGCACCCACTGAATACTTGTTCACAAAGGTGTTTTATTGCAATGATATAAAAATAAGATATCCTAGTAAGCTGACCAACTCATAAAGTTCAAATGTGAATTTGGGCTTTCATTTGTAGATATGTTTAGTGATGGGAGAATCATGGAATTTTGACAGTTAT